ACATGCATGTAAGAAAATAATTAAAAAAAAAGATCAAATTTCTGATAATTTCAAATAAAATATACATGTATAATTTGGTTTGCTTATTAATTAATTAAGTCGACGTGCATTGTTAGCAAGGGTAGCTCTCTAATGTGCAATTTAAACCCAAAAGAAAAAATCACGTTTAGATCATGCCATTATTCCAAAAAAATTCAAACAATATATGCTTTTTCACAGTTGAACCAGCTAGGCTTCTAATTGAGGATTGGGGGAAAGACAAGCCATGTTTACTTGCTCTAGTTTTGAAAGAGATGAAGGCAAAAAATTTTCCACGATAACCATATTTGGATGAGGCAAGAGCTTTGGCAGTAAACCAGAAATGGGATGATGATGTGATCTTGATTTGCAATTTTATGGAAATTATATAATGAATAATTTAAGGCATCCTTATCCTTGTAATGGGGAAAAATGAAGGTAGGGCATGGCCATGGCCATAGGCCAAACCTCCAAAGCAGTTGGGGGGTAGTTCTTGCCCATGAACATTAATTGAAAGAGATCAAACCCTAGGGATCCCCCATTCAATGTGGTTCAGGCAAATTACTAGTTTTTGTGTGGTAATTTATAATGATTTTGATTCTTTTACACATATCAAATCCTTTCACATAAATCAAATAAATATTTTGTATATTTCAATTTATGATAATATTTATATTATTTTTTAAAATTAATTATATAAATAAATTGAATTAAATTTTAAATTCAATTGACATGAAGCATTCAACATTTTAAATTATGATACACTACTTTATTATCCGTGTGATGCATGAATTACCTTTACTTATTTAAATATGTAAAAGCATAAATTAATACTATTCAAACATGTTCAAGATATATATATATATATATATATAATACAATTAAAATATCACATCATAATAAAATTAAGAACTTTAATTAAAAATTTGACAAAATTCAAAACATACTATAAATAATATTTAAGGGAAAAAATTCAAAAGATATTATAAATAATATTATTAAGTACACCAACAAAATGTTAAAATAAAAACTAAAAATTTCATCACTTGAAATTAATTTTTTTTAATTTGCATCATTTTCATCTTAAGTGATTATTTTATACCCTACAATGTTTAAAAGGCTCATGATCTTCAACATGTTCTTATTACCAAGTAAAGATATTTATAAAATTATTTAAAAATCTCTTGATTTTCAACATGCTCTTATTAGTTTAAAAAATGGATTTAGATGGATATTTAAAAATGTTACAAATTTTAAACAATGCTCTTACCTGTTTAAAAAAAAAAGAAATTTTAATAAATAGATATAAATGGACATCTATATGTTTAAAAATGTATTATCGAAATAATAAATAAAAATGTAAGTTTGAGAAAAAACTTACGTAGCTATTTGTGAGAAAATTTACAGATTGAAAAAAATAATAGTAAAGTAACGTATTTATAGGCTTATTAAATAATAATTAGAATGTATCGATAATTTTTAAATTAAAAGGTATAAATAAATTTTAAATTGATAAATATATTTCAAATTTAAAAAAATGATATTGTGATTTCAAATTGTAAAGAATTTTAAAAATAAAAAGATTATAAAGAAAATTATTAAAATAAAAATATTTTTTTGAGATTTTAAAGTTTAAAATTTTTATTACGTGATTTGATCTTGAATTTCATTCTTCACTTTTTTTAAATTTAAAATATTTATCTTTTCATATTCTTTAATTGGTTTTTTATTTAAATTTTAAAATTTTTAAATAATTCAATCATTTTTTAAATATATATTTTTTATAAATAATTTAAAATTAATAAATATTTTATGTATCATTATATGAAATAGTTTTAAAAACTTTTTTACTTATAAAAAAAAATCTATCTACATAAGAAAATTTATTAATAAATAATTAATTTAATTAATAAAAAAATGTCATTCAAATAAATTTTAAATTTAAATTTAATCGATAATTATTTATTAAAATAATTTTAAATATATAATTTTAAATATTTATTTTAAATTATTAAATATAATATATTTTATTTTGATCTAAAAAATTAATAATTTATCTATTCTTAATTTTTTTATATAAAATTTTTTTAAAAAAATTCACCTAAAACAAGTGGAGAAAAAAATGACAATGATATTTCATCCTTTGATTTTTATTTTAATGCCCCACCTTATTTCGTTTTCTAGTTGATCAATATTACAATTTCTGCCACTTCCCCAACCCCAACTGACAACTGTTTCATCTTTAGAATTTTTTGAGTGATAAAAGCCGGGTGGGGACAATTTATTGCGTGTGCCGCTTCTCCACCGTACGATTCTGACAGTGATCAATGAATAAGTGAACAGTTACTAAACGTCAAGTCCCCATCACAACTCATTCGGGTCCCACCTTTCCTTAAACCAATGGTCAGGATTCGTCCTTCAACCCCTGATTTCATTTTTATCGTACGTACGTATATTACAAACCAATGGTCACGAAAATACGTAAAGTAAATCCCTCTTTTTATTTAGATTTTAAATAAAAAAATATATTCAGTTTTACGATTTATACGGTGGGGAGAGATAAAAATGATAATTTTTATTTTTATAGCATATAAAATATTAATAACTTATGTATTAATTTAATGTATTACATAAAAATTATATATTTTAATTTTGTACAAATATAAAAAATAAAAAATATATTTTTTAATTTTAATTAAATTTATATATAATTTTATTAAAATTTTAACTTATATAAGATGTAATATTCATATATTTTTTATCATATCATTATATAAACATAGCTAAGAGAACAAATAAGGGCCACGACCCTCCAAAGTCTTTATCCTGATATAGAATAATATCCGATCAAACCAAAAATAATGTTAGCCTCCTCTTCCAATAGAATTACAATTTAATATTTTTATATTTATATTTTTATATCATCATATCATATTTTAAAATAATAAATTTATTAACATAAATAATAAATAATAAAAGAATTAAATAAAAACATATGAAATTAATTATTATAATAATAAAAAATATATATTATAATGATAAAATTAATTATGCTTTTTAAGTCTTAAATTGTAGTTGGCTTCATCTATAAGCTTAGCAAATCTACTTTTCCAAGCATATATTCCTGGAATCTTGCATTAAAGTTTTTTCTAACCGGTAAACTGTCTAGTTGTTTGATTTTCCTGAACATTGACTGCAAAAACAAATGTCACACCTAACAATATATATATTTTACTTGATTTTTTGGTATTCAATAATTATTTTAAATTTTGATTAATTTAAAATTAAATCAGACTGAATTTTATAAAAAAGATAAATTTTTTAAATTTATTTTTTTATTTATAAAATTTATAATTAAAATTTTTATCATTTGAACCAACAAATGATGAGATACCTAATAATATTGTTTTCAATAAAAACACTGCAACTGTAATTTCTTTGCAAATTGGAATGTTAATTAAAATCATACTATTATTTTAATATTTCTATTCATTTTCAAAATTTTAAATTCAAGGTATCAGTTTTCAAAGCTTAGAAGCAGAGGAAGTGATTGAGAAATTTCACAAAGTTTGAATATTTTGATATTCAATTATATGAGATATTGAGAGATTGATTAAGATTCCTATAAAAGAACCGACAGCTCAGACTGGATTATAAAAAGCAAGGACCCCAATGAAAAAAAAAAAAATTCAGTTTTTTCTTTTCTCCGACTGGATGGACCCTATGGAAGGATGTGATCCCCCATTGAGTTTAAATGAGAGGGGACCCTAAACTCATAATTTCCCTAACAATTTCACCTCAAATAGTATATTTTCTTGGATAGTTGGACCTAACTAAAGAAAAATATGTAGATAGCCCTTCCGTCGCATTCTTGTATCATTTTGTAATAAATAAAGTCTATCCAAGCATTTTGGTTGGATGTGATCTATTGACATATATTGAGTTTAATAATTTTGAATATAAAATTAATAAAAAAATTTTGAATTTAAATTTTATTGATGATTATTTATTAAAGTTATTTCGAATGTATGACTTATAGTCACTTATTTTAAGTTGTCAGATATAATTTATTTTATCATAATTTAAGAGATTGAATAATTTATTTATTTTTAATTTTAAATATAATAAAATAATATGATAAATTTTTTATAAGATTTATGTATTACTTATTATTGCTATTGTCTTCTCAAAAATATAAAATTTATATTTATATTTTTATCTTTCCCCCTTTATTTGAGAAAAAGAACAAGCTAAAGTCAAAGATGATAAAAGAAAAGGAAGTGCCTATGACTAAGATGGTTGTAACTTTCTAAGTCTTGCAATGGAACCATCCCCGTCGTTGTAAGAATGCAGACACGTGAATAATTGGACCAAAAACAAAATTTTCATTTTTATATTGTCCTTGATTTAAAATATTTAATTCACCAGTTACCATCACTTCATTTTCCTTTTAAAAAACCATTTTTTATCATCAATTTTGGCTATGACAACGATTATTCTTAAATCAATTGATATATTATTACCGTTGATACTTAAAGATTAAGAATTCAAAAAAATTTATGTACATAATGTTTTATTCAACTAAATAAATAATAAATAAGTGAATTTAAGGGTAAATTAATAATTTCAAAAATTTTTTGGTTATAATGCTATAATAGAAACTATACTATTGGACTGTGCTGTTGGGCTTATGTTGGCCCAAAGCAGCAACTGGCTCATCAATTTCATGTGGATGTTGAATTTCGAAGGTTTTTTTTTTTTTTAATATAAAAAAGAAAACCTGTTTCAAATAAATGGTTCATTAGTAATTATTCAAGTATCGAAGGGCAATTCAATCACCTCCAAAATTTGTCTGACGACCCAAAGTCTTGCACTACCAATAAAAAAATTTTTTTTCTTCTACGAAAAATCTGACACATTCTCTCTCTTAAAAACTTTTTCTTTTCCCAAAAAATTTTCAGTGGTACATAACATAAAAAAAATAATGGCGGTTGTGTATTCATTGATTGGAGGAGCAAAGCAATAGCAGAAAGAGAGAGATAGAAAAGAAACCAAGCCGCATAGGAAGAAAGTGGTAAAAGTAGTAGTACTGGTAAGCGACAGGGAACTCTCTCACTCTCTCTGCCCATTCTCTTCCATTAGTCACCACTCGCCACTGCTATTTCCATCCATTGCTGGAAACAAAAGGAGCCACCTCCCTTAGTATCTACGTCTCTGAAATCCTCAACCATAGATATAAGACATATATTCTTCGACAAACAAAATCTATAAATACCCAATACTGCTTTGGAAAACAGTTGGACTGTACGAAGCAGAGAGATAGAGAGCTTTGAGAGAAGAAAACCCAATGCATAATAGTACTATATGATTCTTTTAACTTGTACCCTTTGCATCAGTTTTTTGGTCTGTGACTGAGAACAAAGATCTGGGCTTTTCTTTGTTAAAAAAGGAAACTTATTGGGGGGAGGCTGCGAAAAATCGTCATCATTCAAGCTGAGATCTGTTGGGTATTTCTGCTTGCTGGCGTTAGTGGTTACAAGCTTCGAGGAACCCAAAGAAAAAGCTGGTGTTTTGTTTGCACTTTAAGGATCAAAAGTCTTTTTAGGAGGTGAAATGTGGGGCTAAGGTGTTGGAGCATAAAAAAGAGAAGATTATGTTGATGTTTTAGCATGAAGGTTTTGGTTCAGGAGAACAACACTTGGGGTTTTTGGGTGAAGAAGAAGATAGGAGGCGGATGAGGCTTAAAGCGATTGTCTTTTGTAGTAACACCGGTTTTGGTTGAAAAAAAAAGACAAGAAGTCTCGGGGCTTTGTGTTTTTATGTTGTTTCTAAAGTCTGTTCTTTGATGGGTAAATTGAGAGCTTTTGGCTCAATTGGAGCTGGTTACTCTTAAGACACGGTGTTTTTTGTCGAGACAAAAGAGTAAAAAGAAAGGTCTTTGAGTGTGGGTGTCCCTGTTTGGAGGATTTTGGTGCTTAATTGGTGTGGTGGTTAAAGGAAGGGTTGTTGGGGTGGGGATCTTTATCTTTGAGAGTATAAACTTGGGATTTGAAGGTTTTGCTAATTTTTCTTAGAAAAAAAATGAGACTTTCTTCAGCTGGTTTCAATCCACAAACTCAGGAAGGTATGCTTCTTATTATCAAGTTTCTGTTTCTGTCTTTTTTCCTCCCTCTTTTTTTTTTTTTTCTAAGGATTAGATTGAGTTTCTGGGAAGAGGTGAAGGGGGAGAGAGGAGGAGTCGATATTATCATGTTGTTGTGGAATTTGGGATGTCCATTGGCTTTGTTTGTGGCTTGAGAAAATATAGGAGGATCTGGAACCTCAAAATGTTAAACCTCAGATCAGTAACTGCGGTTTATTTGGATTTACCAAGTCTCAAATGCAAAGCCATAGGAGGATAGCACGCTTTCTCTTTGTTGGTTACTTGGTTGGTTGAATTCAGTCTTTATTAATTCATTTCTTTTTTTTTTTTTTTAATTTTTTGGTCTGGGGTAAAGAAGTGCAAAAGATATCTTTTTCTGAAAATTTTATTGTACTTTGATTTCATTCATCGTTTCTTTATGACAAGCTGAGATGTTAAATATGGTTATGTCTTACTGAATTTGTGCTTCTTCACGTAGCATATGGGTTTGTTTTTTGTGTTCTGCTCAAGCGTCATTCTGGAGTTTAATGCATACCCATATTTGTTGTAAGTTTGGATTTTCTATCTTTTGGCATCCCTTGACCTTTATATGACATGTTTAATTTACTAATTGGGGGTCTGTAATCAATATCAGCTCAGTTTCTTTAATTATATATATTTTCGCTTTTGATTTTGTTGAAGTAGTTTTAAATTAATGCGAAATAAGAATTTGCAGGAGAGAAGAGAGTTCTGAACTCTGAACTTTGGCATGCATGTGCGGGTCCTCTTGTTTCTCTACCTCCCGTCGGAAGTAGGGTTGTCTATTTTCCACAGGGTCATAGCGAACAGGTTAGTAAGCTTGGATTTGGGATTAGCTTGTTCCTAGTAATGGATTTTGAAGCAGATTTTGTGTGTTGCAGATGATATGTATGTATTAACTTGCGATTGCTTCATGAAGAATAAATTATGAATATTGTTTTACTATCTTTGCCGAGGAAAGAGGAAAAGTAATTTTGCAGCATATAATCATTACTGCCCTTTTCCAATTGATTGAAAGAATGTAAATAACGAAAGGGCGATCATACATCTCTTTGATAGTTCCAAATACCATCTTACTGTATGGCCATTGGCATGAGCAATCCTTTTTGCTATCATAATTGATCCTCCGGTAGATCAATAGTGGACTTGAGTCTTCTAGCATACTATGTGCTTTTTTACCCTCTTATCCTTTTTTAAAATAAAATTTAAATGAAGTTTGATAATTTTTTAAAATCAGATCAACAGAGGTTTGTGTACTTCTGGAAAGTAAAACTGGGGATTTTTCTGGCCTGGAATTTTGTATAATTCTCTCATAAATAATATTTTATCAGACTCACACTAACATTAAAAACTTGTGGTATACATTTATTGGTTGTTGAAAGTCCCTGGAAACCCATTGTTGACATCTAACTTCCCCAACCCACCTTGTTAGGGGAGACCATAAATGACTGTTCATGGTTGCCAATGCCAGTAAAAAGAGGTTTGTTCTATGTGGTGGGAACCATTGGTTATATCATCCTAAGTGCTTGTGTGGTCATGGATCATAAGGAACTATAGGTGGAGCTGTATCAAATCTAATTCTAGTTGAACTAATGTCTTTATTGAGTGACAATCCATGCATTCGTGAAGGCGTGCTTTCATTCACTCTTTGGTGGAGCTGGAATATCTTTCTTCCAGATTTTGAGTCCCCTCTGGTGTTTATGATGTATAGATCCTGTTATTTTTGCTGGTTCTTTATATTTGAAGTTTGAAAACTCTTTTCTTTTTGGCAAGGATTGGTATATAAGTACACATTTGAGTGATAATTGCTGGTTATTAGTCTCTGTCCTTCTGTTATTCATGTACATGGCATGTTTCAAATATGTAATTTTTAATGTAAACCTCTTATGAGACAACTTAAGGTGTTGAAATTGGTGTCCTTATATTGTGTTTTGCTCTCCGTGCCTGACTGTAACTTAGAGTCATTGGCAATCAATCACATTACTTGACGTTATCAATTTGGTTCTTTCCAAGTAAAGTGGTTCATTGTACTTTATTAGACATCATATTCGGTAACCAAACATATTTTTTGAATCATATATTGGTGGTTTTCTTTTTAGGTAGCTGCATCAACCAACAAGGAAGTGGATGCCCAGATACCTAACTACCCAAGCTTACCTCCACAACTTATTTGTCAGCTTCATAATGTCACCATGCATGTAAGGCTTGTTTAGTTTGGTTTTCTGATGCTATGTCCTCCTATTGAATTGTCTCTGAAGCCTCAAAATTTGCCAACTTCAGGCAGATATTGAGACAGATGAAGTATATGCACAAATGACCTTGCAGCCACTGAGTCCGGTATGCTATTTTGTCTCGGTTCTCTTGTGATTCTGTCAGTCTTATTGATTTCTTCAAGTGTTGAAGATTATTTGTTCTACAGCAAGAACAAAAGGAGACTTACCTACCAGCAGAATTGGGCAGTCCCAATAAACAGCCGACAAATTATTTCTGTAAAACATTAACAGCCAGTGACACAAGCACTCATGGCGGGTTCTCTGTTCCTCGCCGAGCAGCTGAAAAAGTGTTTCCTCCACTGGTAAACTGTTGTCACCATAGAGTGTCGATGTCCTCTTGTGCATTTAATTGCAATGGTTTATTTCTAATTTTATGCTATTGATTGCTTGCAGGACTTCTCCCAGCAGCCTCCAGCTCAAGAGTTAACTGCAAGGGACTTGCATGATAATGAATGGAAATTTAGGCATATATTTCGGGGTGAGTTATGAAGTACTCCCTTTTCCTCTTCAAATGTGTATATGTTTCACCAAGAAATGGAATTCTCAGCTTCATATTCTTTGCAAAGATGTAGAAAATGGCTTTTTAACTTATCATGTGTGCTGAAGAAGTCATAATCACTTAGACAATTGACACTACCTGAATTATAATTGTGGCTACTGTTGATTATTTGTCATGTATGGCATACGGTGGTTTTATTCCAACCATTAAATTGCCCTAAGACTATAAGTTGCACTTAAACTAACAGTCAATGACTTGTACCCATGCAGGCCAGCCCAAAAGGCACCTCTTGACAACAGGGTGGAGTGTATTTGTAAGTGCTAAAAGACTAGTTGCGGGTGATTCAGTGCTTTTTATCTGGTAGGTACCTGGCTTGTCTCCCATTTTAGCTTGCCTCTACTTGCACCAGAAGAGACTGGATTTAATTCTTTTCTCTAGTATTCCAGTGTCCAAGTGTATGATTCTTGCTGTTCTTTAGTTGAACTTTGGCATTCTTGCCTGCCAAAAAAAAAAAAAAGTTCTTGAGAATTCTAGCTTGAGTTACTTGTATCTATACACATTTTTTTTCTTTTCTCGGATATCTAGCCAAAAACACAGATGAATTTGTGTGAAAACGCATGATAAAACGTTGGTTTTGGTGCATGTTATTAGTTGAGTTTTGGGCTAAAAATATTCCTCAGGGACTATTTAGAACCATTTCTTCTCCTCATGTGTTATCTGAAGGTGCAGGCATTGAGAATGCACTCTCTTTCTGTCTTGATTTTTCTGTTTCTCTGACTTCGTGGCTCTCTAAAATGCTATTTCCTGTAGATTTTCGGTATGTTGATGCTCAAACCAACATATGGGTTATTTTGACAGGAATGAAAAAAATCAATTACTTCTTGGTATACGACGAGCTAATCGACCTCAAACTGTAATGCCTTCATCAGTTTTATCAAGTGATAGCATGCATTTAGGGCTTCTTGCTGCTGCTGCTCATGCAGCTGCAACAAATAGTCGCTTCACTATATTTTATAACCCAAGGTTTAGTGCCATTGCTATCCATCTCTGTAATTATTGAAGATGTCCTAACTAGTGATTTTACATCCGATCTAAACTTATTCTGCTTTAATTCAGGGCTAGTCCATCAGAATTTGTCATACCAATGGCTAAATATATCAAAGCTGTCTATCATACTCGAGTTTCTGTTGGTATGCGCTTTAGAATGCTTTTTGAAACAGAAGAATCAAGTGTTCGTCGGTAAGTGTCAAACTTTTTGCTTTTAACAGTTGATTCTTACTGTTTGAAATAGCTTCCATAAAATAGGATTAAATTATCATTATTTTAACAGTGGATTGATGTCTGACTGGCTTTCATTACAAAAGGATTAAATTGCGGTTATGCTATATGTTGAAGTTAGATCTGCTGTTTTATTCATTCTCTTTTCTGATGCCTTGGTTGATCATCAAACCAATCAACATGTTCTATTCCTTTTTGTGCCCCATCTCATATGCGTACTTACTTGTGAACATTATGGACGTTGCATCTGATGATTGTGCATTTCCCAGATACATGGGCACGATAACTGGCATAAGTGACTTAGATCCTGTTCGCTGGCCAAATTCATATTGGCGATCAGTCAAGGTATGTTTAGAATGATTGCATTCATCATTTATTTATTGAGAATCTTGCATATTTGTTATTTTAGATTTTCTATCAATGGTGATGAGATTTTATGGACTTTAACTTATTCGTGCAGGTTGGCTGGGATGAATCAACAGCTGGAGAAAGGCAGCCAAGAGTTTCCTTATGGGAGATTGAACCATTGACAACATTCCCAATGTATACATCTCCCTTTTCTTTAAGGCTTAAGCGACCATGGCCACCAGGATTACCTTCTTTCAATGGTATGCTACCTGTTTTATTTCTCTCATCTTCTCTCATCTCCTATATGTTGCATTTGAAATTCGAAAAATGCTTATTTCTTTTTATTTATGTATATTATTCCTTAACATCCTTATTCCTTTTAATTTGACTTTCTCTTGCTCTTAGGCATCAAGGATGATGATTTAGGCATGAGTTCTCCACTTATGTGGCTACGAGGGGATGCAGATCGAGGAATGCATTCTCTGAATTTTCAGGGGATTGGAGTTACACCATGGATGCAGCCAAGGCTAGATGCTTCCATGCTGGGTTTGCAGCCTGACGTGTACCAAGCCATGGCTGCTGCTGCACTGCAAGAGATGAGAGCTGTGGAGCCTTCCAAACCAGCAACTGCTTCCCTTCTGCAATTCCAGCAACCCCAAAATTTCCCCAGCAGGCCTGCTGCTTTAATTCAGCCCCAGACGTTGCAGCAGTCTCAGCCTCGGGGTTTTCTTCAGGGTGTTGAAGACAACCAGCATCAGGCTCAGTTGAAGGCTCAGGTTCAAACTCAGCCACATGTTCTTCAGCAACAATTGCATCACGAGAACTTGTTTAATAACCAACAGCAACATCAACAGCAGCTGCAGCATCCACTGTCACAGCAACACCAGCAACTGGTCGATCATCAGCAGATTTCTAGTGCAGTTTCTGCCATGTCACAATATGCTTCAGCCTCTCAATCAAAGTCATCACCTTTGCAAGCCATACCTTCACTTTGCCAACAACACAGTTTTTCTGATTCAAATGGGAACCCTGTGACCAGCCCTATTGTCTCTCCTTTACATAGTCTTTTGGGTTCTTTCCCCCAAGATGAATCGTCCAATCTGCTCAATAGATCCAACCCTGTAATTACTTCTGTCGGATGGCCATCTAAGCGGGCTGCTGTTGATGTTCTCTCATCTGGATCTCCACAGTGCATTCTGCCACAGGTGGAACAGTTGGGTACACCCCGGACAAACATGTCTCAAAATTCTATTTCGCTTCCACCCTTTCCTGGCAGGGAGTGCTCAATAGACCAAGATGGGGGTTCTGATCCACAAAGCCATCTCTTGTTTGGTGTTAATATAGAGCCTTCATCACTTCTAATGCAAAATGGGATGTCAAGCCTTAGGGGAGTTGGCAGCGATAGTGATTCCACTACTATACCCTTCTCTTCTAATTATACGAGTACTGCAGGCACTGATTTTTCAGTTAATCCAGTAATGACACCTTCCAGCTGCATTGATGAATCGGGATTCTTGCAGTCTCCGGAAAATGTGTGCCAAGGAAACCCACAAACCTATGTTAAGGTCAGTTGCCTTTTGTTTTTAATTATACTTCTAGATTAATGAATTTGACTGTTGTTATGAGTTCCATTTGGTTTGTGAATTTTGGTTCTCTTTTATGTGTTGCTAGTTTGATCTGTTGGCACTGTTATTATTACCTTGTTTTTCAGACATTGATGTTGAATATTGTTACCGTGGAACAGGTTTATAAATCAGGGTCCTTTGGGAGGTCATTGGATATCTCCAAATTCAGCAGCTACAATGAGCTGCGTGGCGAACTCGCACGAATGTTTGGCCTTGAAGGCCAGTTAGAGGACCCTCCGAGATCAGGCTGGCAGCTTGTATTCGTTGACCGGGAGAATGATATTCTTCTTCTTGGCGATGACCCCTGGCCGTGAGTTTCCTTTCTCCATGCTACTATTGTATGGATATAGTTGTCTCAATCTCTAGGATGCTTGGAGTTCTTTGGACCCCATATAATACAAGAAATTGTTGCATTCCTATTATAAAAATATTTTTGCCATGCACATGTATGAAACTTCGTGGGGGTAAATTTCAACCGTTTAGGTGCATGCAATTTAAATCTCTTTAGGTTTTTAACATGATAACTTCATTTGCTAATTCCGGACTTCCGTTTTCATTTTTTTCCGTCCACCAGGGAGTTTGTGAACAGTGTGTGGTGTATCAAGATACTATCACCGCCGGAAGTGCAGCAAATGGGTAAACGAGGCCTAGAGCTTCTAAGCTCTGTCCCAGTTCAGAGGCTCTCCAATGGCAGTTGTGATGACTATGTGAGCAGGCAGGACTCGAGAAATTTAAGCTCTGGTATTGCAACCGTGGGGTCTTTGGATTACTGAAGAATTTGACCACTTAAGATACTGTTTCTCTGCTGTAATATTATCCTCTCTTGGAACCCTTTTATGGTAGGTGGAAAGAGCTACCTGACTCGAGCTTGAAGTTTCTATATATATATATATATATATATATATATATATAAGCTAAATACTGTAATTATAAGAGATATTTGTCGCATATGTCAATGAAATATGTACAATCCATATTTATTAGGATATCAATATTTGTGAAGCTAGTTGGCTTATCCCCTCATTCTTTGAGTAGTCAATTTATTATGAGGTGAAGGATATAGAACATACGACAATGAGCATGATGTTAAACTATCTTTTTGAAGTTTCCCAAGTTTAGAAAATTCCTTTCTGGTATGGAATTGGATGGCTAATAAATCCAAGAGCCGTGTGATAAAAGAACCAACCATTTCTCGATTCCATTAGTGTGAAAATGACCCCTTTTCTTGATTTGTTCCAAAATTTGAAAAGTAAACATCGACCCTACTGTCACCATTATCAACAGCTCATCAAACCTAGCTGGGTTGTCGATAATCCAACCTGAAGAGGAGCTGAAGGGAAAAGTAAGGCTGTTCCTTCAAACATATCCAGGAAAAAAGTCACCGTCGGGGTTGTTTGAAGGCGCATGAGTGATGGCACTTAGACTGGAAATGTTAGATGATTCCGTTGCAGTTTATCCAGACGACACGGTGATTATGTCGTAACAATCTTTGCGATGGTATTCTAAAGCAAATTGAAAAGGTTCTGAAGATCAGCAAGACAACAAAAATCAATCTCTCTAGGTCTAAAACATCGTATCTAGTACATATTTTTATGCCTTCAAAGACTTGTTAGGGGCGCAGATCAAAATGTCTGCTGCAATTCTGTGACTAGCTTTAGAGGTGAAATTTGATGGCATGGGAACCCTACAAATCGCTGGAAAAACGTTGAAGTTACCAATTCTTTTATCTCACCTGGATTTAAAAAAAAAAAAACTATAATCTTCTTGTACTTTAATTGAAAAAACATATAGGAATCACATGCAGCATATGAAACGGAAGGCTTCCAATAATTCGTAGCCTAACTGATGGGCCAGGTTGATGGCGGTGGGCCTGACATGTGAGGCATGTGTCCTCGCTCTTCTATCCTCATCTCCACAAGCCATTTTCATTGCAATGTGGTAGAAATTCCCACATTCCCATTTCAATGAATTTAAAGGAAGGGTGGGGAGAGAAAAAGAGAAGATATTAGTTGAGGTCTCCATTTTGGGTTTGTGGGACTGGGGTGGCCGCAGTTTGAAGGTTGAAATGAAGGGTTAGCTTTTTGTTGCTGTGATTGCATGTTGTGGGGCATTTGACAATAGAGGGATGGAATGGTGACAAAAGGGTAGGGCAGGCATCTCACTAGGTTCAAATATTTCTGAAAACTTCATCCATCAAAAACAGAAGATAGGGTACCTATTAACAATAATAGTACCAACTCAAAATTAAAGGGGTTGAGTTGGCAAACCAACAACCTCCCCCTCAAAGCTCTTTATGTTTTGGTGGGGTTGAGAAGGATGTCCTTTTTCCTTTTAACTTGCACTGCATCAAAGCTTTTGCATGACAGTTAACACCATGTTCTGCCAAGCATGTATCATGGCCAAAAAGAAAACGTTCAAAATCGTTTAATCCGTGGGAATTGTATGTGTGTTGGCACTTGGCAGCTGCACTCATGTTTGGTTGGCAAGCAAGTACTGGAAGAATTTACTTTTAGCTGTAAGAGATTTGCCGATGGTGAGAGGGACTCGTTTTTCAAAGATTTTGTCAGAGCTTTTCTGTGCTCCCGATATCATTCAGATTTAAGCCAATGTCCTTAGGAGTGCAAACCCTTGGAGAGTAATGAACATACAGTACAGCAAGTTTAGTTTCATTAAAAGTATGTTCATACAATATTTGAACTCAAACAAACTACTCTTTTGATGTTCTTTTTCACTTCTTTTTTCTACTTTGTACATTATCAATTGTCTGAATCCATCAACTCCTTTGCACAAATATCATTTCGTTTCTTTTCACCCTTGATTGCTTTCAGCAACATTCATAAAAAGAAATTAATGCATGGGTAAAATCACAAAACAAAGGTCATCTAGAGGAGAAGAGGTTCAGGATTACTTGTGGGAAACTTGATGTAGAAAGCCTATTGTTCCTAAAAGAATATGCTTGGTTTACATAAACTAAGTCCATGGCCCAATTTTCAAGCCATATAGAACCCTCCAGGAGCTCAAAATATTTATATAGAGATCCTGTCAAGTATAGGAAAATTGTTTAGAGAATTTGGTTGACATGGGTCTAATCTTTTTCGGAGGTTGAGGATTGGCTGAAGCCTAAGTCTTCAAGGCTACAGGCCGATATAAACCATGTCCGGACTCTTAAGCACCAATATTATGCATTCATGTTAATAAACCTGTTTGCAGTGTTCCCACTTCCCAGCGGTTTGCCCCATTGGGCTGGCTTAAACACAACTGCCTTCAAAAAAGGCCAGCAGCCCAGTCCCGAATGAGCTTTAAAACCGTTGGCAAGGGAATTTTTTTTTTAAATAGTCCGTAAAAAGAATTAAAAAAAGAGTTAAATATTGATTTTTTGTTTTTTTTTTTTTACAAAAGACATCGTGAAACGAAAATCAGAGAAAAAATTTTAAGTACAGAGATTCGAATCCTAAAACCATTAGATGTCATGAATCAATTAATTAAATTTGGAAAGTATACCGATGCCCTTGAATTCTTGAAACTACCCTCAACTGAGTGACTCCATTTAAGTCATAAGTTAATGTCAAACTTGGAACAAGAGTCTCTCCCTATGATTGGTATGAAAATACTATTGGAATTGACATTTATTGCATCAGTTGCATTATTCATTTCAACTTTTCATATAACAACTATGCAAAAACCAAGGGCTAAGGCCACTCTGTAAATGCAACACTCCTTGACCATAGTTAATACTCAAAATAAAGTACAAGAGATGCTACATTGGCTCAACAGGTGTATGAGCAATTTTGCTTTTATTCATTGTTTACTATACATTATGAAACCAACCACAACAGACGTAATGAGATGATGGCATTCTTCCGGTTTGGCGTATGTATTCTACTTGAGCAGCAGTTCTTTCAGCATCTCGATTTTTTCTGGCTTTGGCTGCAGTTCGTTTTTCTTCTGATCTTTGCCTAGCCATGGCAATCTTCTTCACCATCTTTGCTTGAGCTTGGGCTCTCATTTGCTTTACTTTTGCCTGAAAGGTGAAAGACTTGTAATTATTACCAGTACTTATAGCTCAGCATATGGTCACATAAATGATCCTTTATGATTGCAATCTTTCTGGTTACACAAACACTTGAGTCAAATACTTTAGATTTTGTAATGGCACTTAATTCAGTTAAATGCATGATCTCAACCCAAAGCCGACCATATTTCAAGGTCCATTTCTGTTGAATCATGTCAGAAGATTTGAGGTAAGATGAACATAACTGTCTTTCCTACCATTGTCTGATTCCAGGTTTACTCTCTTTTTCATTGAGCTTTTACACTACCAACTGCCATAAAAAAGAGATCAGTAATCTTTAAATTTTTATGTAATGAGAAAAGGGATTTCAGAAACCTCTATTCTTCGCATTTCTGCTTCTAGTTTTGCTCTCTGTTGACTCTCCCATGCTTGAATTTTAATCTCTTCACACTTGTACCTAAGAAATTGAGGTATGCATTCAGAAAAATAAATTGATGGGAAATAGTTTTATGAGCATACAAATTTGCAAAGTATAGGGTCATATCAGAACCTTGACGCATGCTTAGACTTTTCAGCTTCTTCCCATGCAGCTGCTCGCTTTTCATATTCAATCTGCTCAAGCTCCTCTATATTAGAGGTTTCGACTGACGATGTAATATTTTCCTTCTCGTCTTTGCTTGCCCAAGCAGCAATATTCATCTTGCCAAGCTGGACACCAAGGGCTACAATCTCTGTTCTTGTCTTAAGCTTCATTTCTTGCTCAGATAATTCTTTCTTGCCATTATCAGCAGGATGCTGTGGTTCATTATCTGTAGCGTGGTCCAAAGGTGTTGATGCTGGTGCCCCTCTACGGGGAGTAGATGGGATTGAAGATGTTGGGCTTCGGAGCGGGGTTGTTGCCCCTACAGGTGTAGCAGTCCTAGAAGGCTCTTGACTTGTAACAGGGGTCATTTCTGTTCCTGTATCTCTCATAGAAACTGATCTTATTGCAGGCAGCACTGCAAGGTCAAATCTTAAGGTATGAGATAAAGACTAAAAAGAATTTGTGTACTAAAGAATATAAAAAATGTTTCAAGCAATTTGTGAGGGTAAAAGGAAAAGAAATTTACATTGCAACTATTGTCCAAAATTTATTAAAAGATGAACTGACAATGTTGTGGCAGCAGAAAAATCAAACTCTACAAATTATCCTCTACATCCCCTCCCCACACAGAAAAGAAAAAAAAATCAGGATATGAGGGAGCTGGAAATCCCTTATTGGTACTGCCCATGGCTCACAGGGTTAAGCAAGCATCAAACCCATCAATTCACATTATAGTTTCAAGGTTCATAAAAGAAATCATCATATGTTATAATGCTTAACCCTCATAAACCCTTCACTCAACTCATAGCATCTATTTGGGGACCAGAAGACTGGAAGCAGCCCAGCCGCATGGCTCAATCTGCTGCATGCGATTCAAACATTTCAATGTTCTTAATTAATCGCACTATAATGCAAGTAGTCATTATGTTAATCAAATGTTACAGTAGACTTATTAATCAACCTGGAAGCACAGTGCATCATTAATATGTAGTCTACATATATATATATATATATTTTTTTTTTTTCAAGCAGCAAATGCATAGAGGCTCAATGTGCAAATTTACCTGTTGTATCTTCTGCTGAACTTTTTATACAAGATAAATCCCACTGAGCCACTTCCCTCAAATCTGTACTTTGAGGGCACTGATCACTTAACAAGTTTCCTCCACATGCTTGCGCTGAAATAGGATGAGCTCCAGAAGGAGTAAAAGAGAATTTCTCGAATGGCATCTGCACAGCAGCTTGACAGAAATCTACTCTCTTAGTGTCAGCTATTCGATTAACAGCTAACCTCTGATCATAATTTGCCGACTCTGGAGCAACTCTCCCCATATTTGTCATGGGAAATCGATTAGCTTGGTTGTGAAATGCACTCTTCTTAGAATAAGTAGCTTGCACGTTTTGCCTGTTCATTATCCATTTCTCTGCATCATTCCACTTGGATGACATAGGTCTTGAGTATGACCTTGTCATGGAACTGTGTACTGCTTTCTCCCCTTTATGAAACTCAAAGCTTGACGAACTGGCATTACTATCATAATCAAGATTTTCATCTTCTAGCGTCCTCATGGGATGAATTGCGCTGGTATTACCATCAACACCCTTTGAGAATTGCTGTAATTGAGCATGACACACTTCAACGCTCTCCCTTGGCAGTGACTCCTTTGGTTGGCTAGAAATTTGATCATTTAGGCTGGAATCTGACACTACCTCATTGGATACTTTAACAGCTGCAACATCTAAGCTGGGAACTGCAATTCGATAGAATATGTTTAAATCACCAGGCAAATTTAGACAAAACACTTGGCTCAATGCATCTGCTCTCCGCCTGAACCAGGCCAAGAAACTAATGGAAGCATATTTAGCCATGTTAGTGCTATTATGTTTCAACCAAAGACAAAAAATAAGATCATAAGAGCTTCAAAAGTAGCAGACTTCTACCCAGATTAAAAATAATAAAGAAACTTAACTGCTAGTTTTAGTGTGATGCTTTGTAGCGCAAAGGAAGTCCAATATATGAATTATAATAATGAAGAAAGGATAGAAAGTAACAAACCTTCCTCATCAAAATCTCCATTTTTAGAGGCTAATAGACTGTCGACAAACTCAGAATCCTCAATCCTAGACGGAGATGTCCTTGAAGAGTTGCTGTTTGACCCATCCTTCTTTCTGTGATGATGAGGCCCCATCAGCTTCATCCTTAATTTACTTGGCGAAATACCGCTCTGCAGTATAGATAAGAAAAGGGAATTAAAAGCAAAAAAAATAAAGAAAGAATCTTTAATTTGTTTCTCCTCACTTTTAATTCTATAAAAGAAGAACAGCAAAAGCTTTAAACTTTTAAATTTGTTTAAAACCCAGATCAGAAAAAAAAAAAAAATTCAGCACCCAAAGCTGAGGTTTTTTTTTTATTTTTTATTTCACATTTTAACTCCCATTTGTACAAGAAAGTTGACACTAAAAATTCATAAACCAAAACTTCAAAACCACCCATTAACATACAAAAGCTCAAAGAACAAAAGAAATGGCTTACCTGAACCTTGTCTATTCTCTCGTACTCCATTAGATTTCTCTCTTGACTCCAATAAGACTCTAAACACACTGTTTTCTTTCCTTCTCTCACTGTAGAGTTTCTAACTTTCCAAGTTAAACAAGCAGATAGACAGAAGAAAACATGACAGACTCTTGAGTTTTCAAGTGTTTTGTATGACTTTGACCACTGTTCAAACAATGATCCTCTCTTCTTCTCATTTCTCCCCTCCATTACAACCTACTACATCTTCCCCCTTCTGATCCAGCCACGTCATCAGTCTTTGGGTCCACTTGACGTGGCCGTATCAGTGTGGGCCGACCAATGTGAAACTCTTGGTCAGCGCTATTCCAAAGTTTCAACCTTTAAGCTCAAAACTAGCCGAGCAATAGCCGGTTACTACAAAAACCAGTTCTTTGTAGTAAATTGAAATTCTGTTGGTAACTTTAAAAAAAAACTGGGTTACTTTTTTTTTCAACAAAAGACAAAGGAAAATATGGAAATGATGAAGATCACCATGGCCTTTTCAACAACTGCCTGCAATGATGAAAAGTGGAATTTCATTTTGCTCTGCATAGTAACTGCCATTGCCTTCTAAAAAAGCAAATGGGCCATTATCAATCATTCACAAAATTTGCAAACATAAATAAAAGGAAAATTCTCTCAACTATAAAACCCCACAACTATATACACTTTCTTCTTTTTTTTTGCACTGTTTTATTTTCAATAGAAAAACAAATTTAAAGGGAATTAGAGGATTAAGTAACGAAAGAGAAAAGGGTAGTTGTGAAAGAAAAGAAGAGTAGTTAAATCATATTTGAATTCATAATAATGACAGATTGGAACATTATCAGCAAGTCTAATCATTTAATTTATGCTCCTCCTTTAGTATTACTGACCTGGTAATTTGGACAGACTGCCTTTCAGGGTGGCCCACGTTATTCCAAAGTTCCATTTTTCTTTTGCATTTTTTGCACGCAGAAAATGTGTAAAGTGCCTGTACAAGATTCAAAAGTTTTATTATCATCATTGTAAAAACAGAGCAAAAATCATCATTTCTTGGGTTAAACTTAAAGCTTGAGATCGTTTTACTTCTGGTTTGACCAATGACAAGTAACGGGTAAAATGGATACTGAAGAGTGAAGAGAGAGTTGTTGGGGAAGTTCAAAATTGGGCAATAAGGTTCTTGCGTTTTCTTACATTTGTGTCAAAGGTTTGGTGAAAGTTGAAAGATATTTGCAGTGTGAATCTAATCCAAATCTAATCCCAATTCCTGTTGTTGAGAGAACGTGATTGACATGACTTTCTACCAAATCTAGTTATCTCAGTGTCGTATGATTTATTTAGACGAACGAAAAAATTAATTTTGGTAAGGTTAATAATAATGATAACATGAATTTAATTATTATAATGATAAAATTAAAATTTATGATAAGATATATATTGAAATATAAATATAATAATAATAATAATGATAAGATGAATTGTAATGAGATAAAAAAATGATTATTAAGAATATTAATTAAAATTTATATAAAAAATTTTAAATTATTTAATATATAAATTAATAAATGATTAAAAATTATTTTTATGTCAAATAATATATCATTTTTAAAATTGATAATAATATATTTATATAAATTAAAACTTAATAAAATAATATTAAACAGGTAAAATATAAAACATTAATTAATTTAAATATAAATACAAAATAAAAAAATGATGGTATTATAATAAATGATCCAATTCAGTGGCTTACTAGATTATTTTTTATTAATGAAGAATTATTGTTTCAGTACAGAGAAAAAGCTCTATCACACTACACTAATGAACATCCAAATGGAATGAAATGGTGCCTTTACACCAAAAAAAAATTTTTTTCTCCTCGTATTGAAGCCACGAGTGAATCCAAATGGAGCCTTAGTTCCCATTTGGTTTCAGAACAGAAAGGACAGGGGCCAAAGATTTAACTATAAAAGGGTTTTTCTAATTATTTTTAGCTTTTTAATTTAATGATAAAAAAAATCTTAAGACGTTAAGATTGGAGTTCGACCCTAATTTTTCCTCTCTTCCTTTGTTGTACGATTTTACCTTTTTTTAAAAACTAAAATTTTTTTTTTTTATCTAACCATATTAATTGCTCCTGGATAAGTGTTAATAATAATCAATAATAAAGTTGGAAAAAAAAAAGGGTTTATACAAGCAGAAGCAGTCCAGCTGCTCCTCTGATTATCATTCAAATGGTTAAATGATTCCATGGATTTTGGAAGGGCAGCTAACTATTCCTCTTAAGTCAGCAGTCAAAGATACTGTGGGAGCAACACATCCGTGACCAAACCAATGTCCCCTTTTTGTTTTATGTGAATGAAACATTGAACAGTGTCAGATGAAATAGAGGAGAGAGGGTTCAGAATTCTATAACGTACCTCCTCTCCTTTTGTTTTTTTTTTGCCCTTTGAAATAAAGGACCCCCTTGGTTTTGGGGCATTAAAAGAGACAAAAAAAACATTATTTTTAGTGTCTGATAATGTAATTCAATAAGCAACTGTTAAAAATTTTCTTTCTTTGTATTTGATGATATCCTTCCATGGGTTGGAAACGAAATGTTGAGCTTGAATAAAGTGAGACCTGAAAAAAAAAAAAAAAAAACTTGTATTGATATAAATTATTAAGGTTTTTTTTTCCTGGTAAAAAAAAGTTTATACCAGTTCTTTTGGTTAAGATTATGACAGCATTTATCAACAATTGTTAATCCTTCATTTACAAAATGATAACTAAGAAAGGAAAAGCAATCCAATTTTTGTCTATATATATTTAGATACATGATTCAAATTTGGGTTTGCTTTTTGGAAAAAAGTTAATTAGGTTTTGATTTGATAATACTGCTCACCAAATGGATAGGATATGATTGGATTATTATAAGAAGATTTCTTTATCATTAATTTCATCATCAATAGTTTTTATATTGGGGTTAGAGGTTAGGGTTGTTTAGATTTGAATCTTAAGTTTTACAACATGTCACAATTTATTCATAATTTCATTATAATATTGATCCGTAGACATTTGGATATTTTGATTAATCATATTAATGTAGTTTTTTTGGCTTATTAATGTAATTAGATGAGATTTTTTTAATCTCTTTTCAATGATAACAATGCCATGAGACTTAAGATATAACGTTACAAAACAAAATTCCAAGTTGATCTTAAAAAATATTAAAAATTTTCTTTTATCATATGATTTTTGGCATAATAGACCTAACCCATGAAAGAAATCCCCGGATGGAATAAGATTAGGGGTTCTTTTTCTCTATAAAAATGTTTATAGGCTACAAAATCCAATGCATAATTTAGAAAAAAATAGTACTAACACCAGTTAACATTTTTTTATATAAGCATTAATTTTGTTGGAAGAATTTGGCTTAAAGGAGGTGACCAAAAACATTCCTTATGCAATAAAGGTGTCAACAATGGGGGATTGTGGGACTGTGCGTGTGTGAATTGTGCGTTTGGAGATGTATTCACATGTAATGTTCCCATTGTCAGTGGTCCACGTCCTTCTGTAATTTAGGGCAATGGCAGAAGCATGGATGTCATTGGCCAGGGCCTGACCTGCCCTAACCCCCCTTGGCTGGCCGGCCCTTTGGTGTGTAATATTATGTGAGAAAAGGGTGACTTTGCCAAACCATTTTGACCATATTATCCACGTGGCAAGAAAAGGGTTTTTTTTTTTTGTTTTTTTATATAATATGATCACGGTTGTTTCAGATTTTTTGTAATAATATGTTAAATATGTTTTTCTTTTGGATGTGTCCTTAATAAGCCTGCTGATTCCTACTACATTGGATTTTAACTAGTATGGAAGTCTTAAAACTTGATCCTTTTAAAGTACAAATTCTCCTGGTAATGGCATGTACCTCTTCATTAACGAATGAAAACAAAAAAACAAAAATTGTTATCTATCTTTAATGTATTTAAATTCTGTCTCCTTCTACCTCATAGAAATTGACAGGGTTCCATTTCTATCACAGTAGAGCAGGTCAATTTTAACCCCTTGGCAGCAGCATATTGTCTGATCTTTTCTTTTCTGCCATTTTTGTTTTTTTTTTGTTTGAAGCTTCAAAACTTGGATTTCCTTAATGTTTCTTTATTCCTAAAACAAAAAAATCTTTAGAATGGAGGGAAATCTGGTTCACAAATAAAAAATGGCTGAAAAATGTTGGGGAAACCTGTAATTTAATTTTTTTTTAGAATTATTTGGCAGGACTATCCAAAATTTCATTCATGACATCATAAAGACCTTTGTTCATATTTCCCTCCTATTTCATTCGGTTCATAAAAATAAAGTATCCAAACTTTTTTCAAACTTCCTCAACTAATTGGAGAAATTTCATACCAACCAGACATGGTCTAGACTTAGCCTTTACATGTGAATGTGCAGAAAACAATAGCACTTATTTGAACTTGATTTTGCTGTGGAAATTCCATTGAATGTGGGACATGATAATGCAGGGAATACTAAGTGCCTAAATTGGACTAGTTCAAAAAAATAAAAATAAAAATGGTGATTGACTGAAATGAGCGGGATAATCTTTCATTTTTCTCATTTGGGTCCCTTATTTCTCAACTTTTCCTCCAATCTTTGAAAGTTTTGGTTTGTAAATCACTTTCTTTTCCTTATTTCTTCTTTGTTCAAAGGTTCAGACATTAATCTATGTTTTTTTAGCTTTATGGTCAATCATGGAATAGGACCTTTTGGCAGGAAGGACTTGAATAAAGATGGAAACATAAAAACTTGTTAAAGCTATAGCAATTCAAAATTCTCAGTTACCCTTTTATGTGGGTCATGCAATTTATTGATGGGCAAGTACTTGTTTGAGGACATATATAGAATTATAGAAAAATCTCACCAACCAAAGGTTTTTGGTTGCCTTCAAGAGCTTGGCAATTGATGTTGATTCTTCAGGCAACCTGTCAGGGTGAGTTAAAAGTGATTTAGAAGCTAATTGATAGCCTTTCTGTTATTGATCCCAAAACCAAGTTCAAGCTCAAATAAATGGAGATTGGTTATTAATATGAATCTATGAAGTTGGTTGAAATGCTAATGTGCACATTATAACTTTGTGAAAAAGGGTGAAAAATGTAGAGTCTGTTCCTTTTTTGTTTTAAATTAGGTTCATTTTCCTGAATGAAGTCTCCTATACTTTTAGCTAACAGCAACAGTTTTCCTGATTAGTACGATTTTTTTTTTCTTCCCCTCAAGAAATCATGACCGGAAACCATCTTTTTAGACTTTTACCAATTAACGGAATTGAAATCTTTCGTACTTTGAGGATCCAGGTTCTATGATT